AGTCAGTGTCTGAGTCAGGATTTGAACTTAAGTCTTCCTGATTCTAGGTCTAGCACTCTACTATGTCACTTAGCAGCTTCTGCAGAAACACTATTCCTGAGGTCCTAGGAATGTATCCCAACAGAGAAACAGCTATGTGCTACCTAAAAATCAAGAAATTAAACAATTTAGTGGAAAAAAAAATCAACAGCTGAAAAGATCCCTGTAAAGCTTTTAAAAGGAACTATGAGTAGGCATAGCTGCTGCGGCTGCAATAGTGATAGGAATATACAGGGTTCTTTGAAACTAGACAAGTTATAGACTACCTGTCAGTTGTCTAGTTTCAAAGAGTCTAGTTTAAAGTTTGGAAAGTTTCATCACCAGGATATACATAGGATAATAAAATTTTGCAGCATAGATATAGACCAATCACCAAGACTAGAAGGATTATGATTGCATTGGCAGAAGAGTAATGTTGATGAAACCTTGAATCTGAAGTTACTTGATTATATGGATGGTAACATTACCATCATTTGTCAGAATTTATAAGATATTGCCATGGTGGTTCTTAATCAATCAACAGCATTGATTAAGTATCTACTACTTGCCAGGCCCTGTACTAGGTGCTGGGTATAACAAGAAAAAAGTAAAATAGTCCTTACCCTCAAGGAGTTTATACAGGACAAATTTATAGCCAGTTAATAGCATTCAATACTTATAGTAATAAAGACAACTAAAGTAATTAAATCTGTACCTAAAGGTATTAGGAAAGGAACAAAACACCTACTCGGGGCCAGGCACAGGGCTTAAGCTTTTGTGATACAAAGACGAAAAAAGAGGCTGCCCTCAAAGAACTTGCAATCTAATGGAGCAAGATAACATGCAAAAGAAAGCTGAGAAGATAAAAAGAAGGAATGAGGCACCGTAAATGAGTGCAGCAAGGTAGGAAATGAGTATTTGTTCATGTTTATAGTTTCTTTTAAACTTCGTATGTGATTTTTATTGACATTCTATGTATGTTTGAAAAAAGATGGGGTTTTTTTCCTTCTTCCTTTGAGTTCCCCCCATATACATATTAAATCTGGCTTAATACTTAGCTCTATCATTTCTCATATTCATTTTTTTGTAGCACTTATTCTGATAATGGAATGTTGAAATTTCCTGCTACTGCTATTTTTTGGTTATTCTTACAGCACTGTGAGCTTTTCATTTATAAATTTTATTGCAGCATTATTAGGCTTACAGATTTTAAAACTGAATGAAGGTCAGCCAGCCTTCATTTACCTCCCAGCTTAGTGCTTAGGGCCTCCTTGCCTTGAAACATTCCATAACCCCTGTGCCTTCTTACCCTGGAATATTCCTTCACCAGGCTGACCCCCTTCTCTTATCTGTAAGTTCCTGTAAGTTATCCTGTAAGCTCCATTTTGTGTAGGGACCCAGGCCTGCCAGCCTTTGTTCTTTTCCTGGCTCTACTCCTGACTTCAAAGCCATGCTCCAATGCTTGGTACCTTCCTCCCCAAATACCCATCTTAGCTTCCTTTTGTGAGTTGTCATCTCCTCTCTCTCTCTCTCTTCAAATTGTATAAATCCCCAGTTCTTAGCACTGTGCTTGGTACTCAGTATGCACTTAACAAATCCACCCATCCATCCTTCCTTCTCTTCCCTCCCTCCCTCCTCCCTTCCTTCCAGATACACTCTAATTCTGAATAGAATCTTTTAGCATAGGTACTTGTTTGTCTCTTAAAACTTCCTGGTTTGAAGTCAATTTTGCTTGAAATCATCATTGCAAAACCACATTAACCACATACAGTCACACAAAATTTTAACAATAAACAGAATAGTTAATTCATTTACAACCTTGCTATTTCTGTCTGCATACATAGAAAACAGATGAAACAGCTATCAAAGTCAAAAGAATAAAAGTGACAGGCCAAAGAAACAACTTCAAAAATAACTTTTGTCTTCGCTTTTCCTCTCACAGAATGCAATGGACATTCATCACCCTCAAATACACAGAGGTGGGCCCACAGTTACATGATTCTTTGTTCTTTACTGTAAAATAATAATTAACTTCATGAAGCTGCTGATTAAAATCTAATTGTTTCCTTGTTTTGTAACTCTAGGCCTAGTGACTTAAGCTAGTAACCATGCATTGAATTCTTTTTCTGATCAAAGGCTCTAATATCTCACCAAGAAAATGAAAAAGGGAGGGAACTAAAGACTCTCAAATTTTGGACCTTAATAAAAACCCTTTTATAAATTTCTGAAAGATTGTCATAGACTTATTTGGCCAAATCATTAATGATCATACTTGTCACATCCAAGAGTAAGGAAGACAAGCTTAAGATCTAATTCATCCCGTTAGGCCCATGTACATACAGTATGTATTTTAAAAATATGTTTATATTTAAAAGGATTTTGTGATTCTTATAGCCAAGTTCAATTCTTTGTAATGTTGTGGCTGAATTTTGTAGGTTTGATTATTGTTATTCATTAAGATACATTGTAGCTCCTAAATTTGTTTTATAATCTTGGTTGCTAGGTGGCACAGAGAATAGAGTGCCAGGCCTGAAGTCGGGAAGACTAAGTTCAAATCCAGCCTCAGACTAGCTGTGCGACTCTGGGCAAGTCACTTAACCCTGTTTGCCTCAATCCACTCATCTGTAAAATGAGCTGGAGAAGAAAACAGCATACCACTTCAGCATCTTTGCCAAGAAAACTCCAAAATGAGTCATGAACAGTTGGACATGAATGAAAAACAACTATAACAAAAGCAGTCTTTCGATCTAATGTCTCACAAGTACTCTGTTTGAGCACTGTACAGAAAACTTGAGGATATAATAAAGAACTAGAAGAAATATTCCCTGCAACCCAATGGGGGAGAAATAATTAAACATACATAAAACAAGCATAAAATTACATATAAAGAAAGCATCAAAAAGTATAAGCTAACAAAGAAGCTGGAGCTTGGTTCTGGGGGATGACAAACGCATCTATTACCAAGCTTCATGAGTTAGAGGAGGAAAGGACATTAAGGTTAAATACAAGGGTTCTTAACTTTTAATATGTGTGTGTCATGGACTCCTTTGACAATCTGGTGAAGCCGACTGACCCATTCTCAGAATAATGTTTTTTAAAAGCATAAAATTAAATATATAGGATTGCAAAGGAATTATAAAGTTGCAAAGGGTTATTGTGAAGGTCAAATGAGATAGTATTGTAAAGCACTTAGCACAGTGCCTAGTATACAGTAGGCTATAGTAGGCACTTAATAAATACTTGTCATCTACTACACACCCCACCCTCTGGAAACTAATTATATTTTAATATAGTACACAAAATATTTTAAAAACAAGTTTACTGACCTGTAGTTCAGAACACTGATCTCATCCAGTCCTCTTATTTTATATATGAAAAAAGAGCAGTACAGAGGAAACTATACTGGATTGAGGTCCAACTCAAAAAGGCAGTGTTTTTTCTGATATATCATGTCAACTTATCCCTTATGTGGAAAAGTTTCCTCCTGAAATCCCGCCATTGAGGATACAGTTGCAAGGGGGAGCAGCTGACTGCACTTCTGTGAGAGCTATTTAGGGGCACCAGGTAGTAGTCAGGATATTGACATGTGTAGTTTTGAAAGGGCAAAGCGCTGTGTTTTTAAAAGGAAAAGAGCAGGGGCCATAATGAATATGTTCACATAAGAAAGGGAATATAGTTGCAATTAAGTAGGTATTTCAGGTGTGGTCTAACAGGTAAAAAGGAGAATGAGGGCAAAGGCTAGGAGGCCTTGGCACTATGGAACCTTTCCATGAGCTTCTCCTAAAAAATGGCCACTTGGTGTATGTACACTGGGGTAGAGCCTGTGGTCTGGTTGTGAGTGCCTCTACCAAGAGTATATCAGTAAGGGGTAAATAATGATGAAAGCCAGAATTTTTTTTTAATATAATTAATGTGCATTATCAGTAGCTGAGATTGCCTTTGGGCTTATTTCTGTAGGAGGTTGCCTAGGGTGGGTAAGAAGACATGGGTGAGGTAACTTAAGAGCCAGAGGACCCAGGATTGCAGTTCTGCCATTTACAACTTGTGTGACAATGGACAAATCATTTAAGCTCTAAGACCCTTAGTTTCTTCTTCTATAAAATGAGAGGGTTAGACTAGATGACCTCTAAGGTTCTTTCTAACTCTAAAAATATGATCCTTTGCTGAGAAGGATATTAGTAAGAATGAAGGGAACAAAACCAAACAGTGAGAGTGGTCCATAGATAGGATCCAAATTTGGTCATCTCCTTTCATACCTAATGACCTTTCTGGAATATAATAACGTTTTCCTTTAAATTAATTTTAAATTATTTGAAAAATTAAGTATACAAATCAATGGAATGTTAAATGAAAAGATACGCTGGAGAACTCAACCTGTTTGTAGCTGGTGAGAGCCCTGGACTAAGATTAAGGTCATAAATTTGAACCCCAGCTTCATCATTTTTTTTTGTATTCCATTGCCACAGACTATTTCTCTTACCTGACCCAGTGATACATGTTGCTTGGATTTTCAAGACTGGAAAATTATCTGAAGAAGGTGCCCAAGAACTGCTTCAGGTATTGCTACAGCAAATTCAGACACAGACTCACATAAAAAAGCTCAACTTCCTATTGGTGCATTTTCTAATCTAAAATATGGCCACTACCCTAGTGGAAAAATTGGCTAGGAAGTTGTATTAAGTTTGTGACCTTGCATAAGTCACTGAACTTCTCTGAATGCCAATTTACTATAAAATACAGGATTTATGATGGATGTCTGAATTCTTAAAGTACCTAGAGTCCCTCAGGAAAAACGTGCTCAAAATACTCTACAGAATTATGTAGATCTAACTCTAATTTTCATCTCTACCTTAAAGTAAGAAAAACAAAGAGGTAAATTGGCATATTAAGTTTTAAGCTACAACTGGAACTTTACATTTAGGTCCCATGACAACAGTGTTAGTAAACAGCATAATATACAACTCTCAAGAGTAACACCAAAGTTATTGTCACAGTAGCTTTTAATATCATGTGTTAACATCATTTACATAAATTCATATTTAAGAAATACTAAAAAATGCATAATACTAATTTGTAATTTAGACTAACTTCTCTCTTCTAGGATTAAAAGTGAGACTAGGAAAACCAGAGATGAGGCCACATAAAAGATTTCAGGACCATTCAGCGGGTACACTAATAACAGTCCAATAAAACACCAAGAAGAATGGATGTTTTCTCTGGCCAACCCTATTTGTTTAGAATGAAAAACGGCATTTCTTTAAAGTTAAGTACCTTATATAGTTTTTCTATATTCTAGTCTGTTCTCATTGTATACTTCATCTTACTTAAGAGTAAAAAAAGATTTAAAGCAAATAGGCATGTTGGTATAAATAAACGAAGTGCATTACAGAATGGTTATAGACTGTATATAACATGCACCATTTATGTACATTTCACCTTGCATAGATGTAAAGTGCCTTTCTTGTAACAAGGCATGAAATACAAAATCTCACCCAAAAAATGTGAGTCATTTCTAGCACAAAGTGAATCAGAATGACAGTAACTTTGGCAGTTCATTTTACAAACTGATTTTCCCCAATGCAAATATTTCCTTCATTCTGGGTCAAGCCGAGGTAAAACAGGAAGAATGAGATTTCCAAATGCAGAGTCCTGAGTTATGAAGTATCCCGAAGAATGTGCATGAGCATGCTGGAAAAAAGAAAGGGAAGATTAACAATCATAGTTTCTCAACAATAGGATTAAAATACATATAAAAGGAATTCAGGAAAAAACATGGAAAAGACTAACATGAACTAATATAATAAAGGACTAATAAAAGTGAGGACAGCCTAACCAGAAGAACAATATACACAATGATCACAATAATATAAACAAAAACAACAAAAAAATTCTTGTCGCAACAGTTTCTTAAATATGGTAACATTTATAGAGGTTTAATATTTATATTTAATACTGTATAACAGCAGTAAAAGATAGATATCTCAAATTAAATGTAATAATCAATCTTGGTGCTAAAGAATTGATGATGATGAAACACCTTTCCTTCTCAACAGGGACATGGAAGATTACAGGTACAGAATGTCGTATATGGTTATAGCCATTGTTGCCTGTTTTGCTTAACTTTTTCTTTGTTACAAGGAAGGTTTTGACAATGGGCATAGAGTGGAGGCCAGGGTGGGTGTATCAGAAAGTGACAATGGTGGAAAAAACAAAAGCCATCAATAACATTTTTAAGATGAGAAAAACCCTCATCTTTTCTAAAATGAAAGGATATTTTTAAAGCAGTTTTTGTGCTATTTATTTTGCCAATAAAAATGTCATAATCTAGTCATAACATTAATCAGCTGACCTAGGTACTCATGTAATTACCCTCGTAATCCCAGTCACCAAAGGAGTAATTATAAATGCTTTGTTCTCAAAATGGGGACAATTTTTTTTTTAGGCAATTGGAGTTAAGTGACTTGCTCAGGGTCACACAGCTAGTAAGTGTCAAGTGTTTGGTCTGAGGCCACATTTGAACCCAGGTCCTTCTGATTCCAGGGCCAGCACCCTATCCACTGAGCCACCCAGCTGCCCCTTATGGGGCAGATCTTGCAGTACCACCTCTTGGTGGGGAAAGCCAATGAAAGATCTTGAGCATATATAAAAAGATTCTGATTTGCACAGAAAATTTTCTAAGGCAACCTAGTACTAGAAAAGAACAAAATAAGCAGAAAAGTAATGATTTTGAAATTAGAGGAGAGGTCTATCTTCAAACTCTCCCTCAGTCTTCAACCTCTACTAATCTACTGGTTACTTCCCTAACTACCTTCAAATATGATCAAATAATTTTAGAAAAGCATTCACTAGACCCTACCATGCCCTCTCCTACTTTTCTCTAACTTTTAAGAAAAAGCTCTCTACCCTCATTGCCTCCATTATCTCTTCTCTCATTCATTTCTTAATACTTTGCAGTCTAGCTTCCAGCTCCATCATTCAACTGAAACTGCTCTGTACAAAGTTATCAATTTGCCAAATCTGACGTCTTCTCTCAGTCCTCATCCTTCTTGACCTTTTTGAGGCATTTGACACTATTACCCACAGTCTCCTCAGGGATAATTATCTCCTCTCCAGGTTTTTGTTATATTCTCTCCTTATATTCTCTTTCTCTGGCCATTTCTACTAAATCTCTTTCACTAATTCTTCATCTTTATCACACCAAATTATGGGTATATTCCAAGGTCCTGTCCTGGGCCCTTCTCCTCTGTCACTAAACTGTCCTGATGACTTCATCAACTCCCATTGGTTTGATGATCATTTCTACACACATGACTCTCAGATTTAAATGTCCAGCCTCACTCTCTTATTTAAAACTGAATGTCCTAGAGACATCTGAAATTCAACATGTCCACAACAGAACTCATTATCATTCCCCTCCCTGCCCCTATCTCATCCCCCTCTACCAAACTTTCCTATTTCTGTTAAGCTAACTGATTTGTTAGAGGTCACAGGACTAGTCAGTGACTGAGCAAGGACTAATGGAGCTGCTTAATTCCAGAATTAGTACTCTAATATAAAATGTTCATTGATGGCTTATTCAATTTCTTTTTCTGAAATGGGCTTATTTAAATATTTTATTTCCTCTTCTGTTAATCTGGGCAATTTATATTTTTATAAATATTCATCCATTTTACTTATATTGTCAGATTTATTGGCAATGTATGCAACATTTATATTGACATTAAATTCTAGGTAGAAAAATAAATCTAATGGCTAATATGCCCTAAAAAAAACTGAAGAAAGTGCAAAGAGAAAAGCAATCAGAAACAGCACCTTCAGTCCATATGTATAAAGGACTTACATAAACTGATGTCTAAGCCTAAGGTGTATTCAGAAGAATGCCCCCTTTCCCTCCCCACTCTTAGCAACATCTGCTCACCTGTAAGGCAGCCTTCTGCTGCGCGGCAATATGCTGCTGTTCAGCATGATCACGAAAATCCTTATTAAGGGGGGGCCTGGAGAGGGCAATGCTGAAAAAAACAAACCATTACTTGGCTACTTTCAAGGCACAGAACTAGTTATTCTTTACAAGCCACATTTTTCACTATATATGGTGTGTTCATGTGGAGATACAAAAGACCTTTCCAGAGCAAGGACTTTTTTTCCAGTTCACCAGGCCAATTTTACTATAGTCATGAAATCAAAGCTACATGAAATTTTGGGCTTTCAAACTATCACTAACTCTACTGAATTATTTTTAAAAAGCAGTTCATGAATAGTTCAGACAGAACAAAACCACATTTTTATTTGTGCAAGTATTAAGTTACATTTATAATATGACACAGAATTTAGGTGGTGAAGATGGTGATCTACTAGGAATAGAAGCTGATGACTTACCAGAACCCATCTCTCAGCAACCTAAAAAACCATCTCTGTCATAGTGACTACAACTAAATTCCCACAAGCCCTTTTCACTTCTGAAAAGAAAACTGATAAAATGGCAAATAATATGATGAGCTTTTCTTCAAATTCTTCTGGAGGAAAAAACTCCCATCATATAATTGTCTAGGCTAAAAAGCCCAATAATACTGTACTCCTGGAATGTGTTTAGAAAACGCCAAAAAAAAAAAAAAAAAGAAGACGCCAAAACTGTCAGCTAAAACCAAACGATTCAATCCACTGTTACTCTGGTTAGTAAAAGTGCAAATAACCAGAATGATGTCTTTTTCACAAAAATGACCAGTTATTTTGACACCATATAAATATCCCTGTTGTGAGAAATGATGTCTCAGAAGTGAAGCCTCCTCAAAGGGTTAATAGTTCTTGTTAATAATTCTCATGAAGAGTAACAATTGGGAGATCGCTGGTCATTTGGAGAGAGCTGTCTCAGTTAAATGATAAGATCAGAAGCCAGATAGTAAGAGGTTAAGAAGAGAGTGAGAGGAGAGAAATTGGAGGCACCTGTTGTAGATGGCCTTCTCAAGGAATTTAGTTGTATTGTTGAAACACTCCCTTCTGACCTTGTCAAACATCCCCCCCATCCCAAGCTTCCCTCAGACCCTGTTTGTTTGTTTTTTTTAAGCTCGTAGCAGAAAGAATAGCCTTACCCCCAACCTAAACTGTTTTCCCTTGCAAAACTTTCCTCCTTTTTGTTGCTGGGGAAGATTTCCGTGAACAGATTGTGCCCCCTGAAGCCCAGCCAATGGGATAAGGGGAAGAGAGTAAGGGAGAAGGAGGTCCAGTTAGAGTATAAATAAGCTTTGCTTTCTGTAACCAACTTGTACTCCCTGGCCGGCACCATTAGTGAGAAGAGGTGCGGTACCTTTTCTCATGAGAAAGTAATAAACTCCTTTCTGTTTTCAAGGTGTCTAAGTCTTTGTTTTGATTTTGAGTAGTGGTCTCTGTCCAACACATTGTGATTCCTTCTTTAAAAATATGAGTGCTGAACACAGCATCTTGTTTCGTAAAAAATAAAAATTTTTTCAGTTTTTTGAAGGATTCACAATAACCTACTGTAGATCACGGCTTCAGGTTTTGAGACACACTGGCATCCAATTTGTATATACAGTACCTGGCTCCAGGATGATTTGTTGAAGATTGGTTTTGCATAAGTAATTTCCTTTTCTCCTTGTCTAGTTCTGCCAGGATTGCTACTCGATTCTTATTTTGAAAACCTAGGGGAAATAAGGAATAAGAAAATTTTAATCTTATTTTATGACCCAAGGCCACCTATAACTTTGAAATTAAAACTTCTACTCTTTATGGCATTGTGATTAATTCATTATTTGTTTGGCTCTGCTTATATTAAACTTGCTTTCTCTAGACAGGTATTACGTTTTCTTTCTTTAAGTGTTATTAAGAAAAATTAAGAGAATTTTACCAATTTCAGTTACAAAACAGACATTCTATATACATACACATAGTGCTCTGTTCTAGTTTACTCTATTCTCCTACATAAACTTTCCTCTTCAAGTTAAATTGTTTTTCTAAAAGTTTTAATCACCAAGGTAGCAGTCATACCTTTTGTATCTTTGATTCTATGTAACCACTACTAGACCTGCTCCCTACCCCCAAAGGGATCAAGAAAGGAAAAAAAAGGACCCATATGTATAAAAGTATGACACCTCTTCTTGTAGTGACAAAGAAAAGGAAACTAAAAGGAATCTATCAATTAGGTAATGGCTAAACAAATTATAGTATATTAATATAATGTAATATTATTATGAGGGCAGCTAAGTGGCACAATGGATAGATAAAGAGCCAGCCCTGGAGTCATGAAGACTCATCTTGAGTTCAAATCTGGCCTCAGATACTTACTAGCTGTGTGACCCTGGGCAAGTCATTTAACCCTGTTTGCCCCAGTTTCCTCATCTATAAAATGAGCTGGAAAAGGAAATGGCAAATCACTCCACTGTCTCTGCCAAAAAAAAACCCAAATGGGGTCATGAAGAGTTGGACATGATTGAAACAAATGAACGACAATAGTATCGTGCCATAAGAAATGATGAAAGGAACAGTTTCAAAGAAACCTGGGAAGACTTGTATGAAGTAAAAGTGAAACAGAAACTGGAGAACAATTTATATAGTAGCAACATTATAATGACAACTCTGAAAGACTTTAGAACTTTTCATCAACCAACCCTGTTCCAGAAGACTCATGATGAAGCATTCTACCTACTTTGTGACAGAGAGTTTATGGACTAAAGAAGCAGAATAAGACATAGTTTTAGACATTGCCAATGTGGGAATTTGCTTTGTTCCACTACACATATTTTGTTACAAGGGTTTTGGTGTTTTTTTGTTGTCATTGTTGTTTGTTTTTGGCTAGGCAAAGGAGTTAAATTTGCCTAGGGTGACACAGCTAGTAAATGTCAAGTGTCTGAGGCCAAATTTGAACTCAGGCCCTCCGGTCTCCAGGGCTGGTGCTCTATCCACTGCACCACCTAGCTGCCCCTAAGTTTGTGTTACAGGGAACCACGGAAACTTTTTTTTTTTTGTGAGGCAAGTGGGGTTACGTGACTTACCCAGAGTCACAGAGCTAGTGAGCGTTATGTGTCTGAGGCCAAATTTGAACTCAGGCCCTCCTGACTCCAGGGCCAGTGCTCTACCCACTGTACCACCTAGCTGCCCCAAGGGTTTTGTTTTTCTTTTTTTTTTTTCCCCAACTGGGTGGCAGAAGGTAGGAAGGATAGAAAGAGTAGTGATAAACACCCCTCCCCCAGATCAGAGAACAAAAGAAAGGTCAGAAGGAATCACAGACAAGCAGGGCAGCTTTGAAAGTTTACATTTAGCAATCATCAAAACTACTTGGTACTGGTTAAGAAATAGAGGAGTGGATCAGTGAAATAAGTGAGGTACACAAGACACAGTAGTCTATAGTAATCTTTGACAAACCTAAAGACCCCAGCTTCTGGGATAAGAACTCACTATTTGGGGGCAGCTAGGTGGCGCAGCGGATAAAGTACCAGCCCTGGATTCAGGAGGACCTGAGTTCAAATCCAGCCTCAGACACATAACACTTACTAGCTATGTGACCCTGGGCAAGTCACTTAAACCCACTGCCTAACCAAAAAAGAAAAAAAAAAGAACTCACTATTTGACAAAAACTGCTGGGAAAACTGGAAAAGCATATGGCAGAAACTAGGCATGGACCAAAATCTTATACTCTATACCAAAATAAAGTCAAAATGGGTACATGATTTAGATATAAAGGCTGATAGTATAAGTAAACTGGGAGAGCAAGGAATAGTTTACTGTTAGATTTATGGAAAACAGAAGAATATATGACCAAATAAGAGAGAACATTATGAAATGCAACATGGATAATTTTGATTACATTAAATTGAAAAGTTTTTGCACAAAGCCAATGCAACCAAGATTAGGAGGGAAGCAGAAAACTGGGAAAGAATTTTTAGAACCAGTGTCTCTGATAAGGATGAACTAAGTTAAATTTATAAGAATACAAGTCATTCCCCAACTGATAAATGGTCAAAGGATATGAACAAGTAGTTTTCAGATGAAGAAACGAAATCTATCTATAATTATATGAAAAAAGGTTCTAAATCACTATTATCAGAGAAATGCAAACCAAAACAACTATGAGGTACCATAACACACCTATCAGGTTGGCTAACATGACAAAACAGGAAAATGTTGGAGAAGATGTGGGAAAATTGGAACTAAATTAATATATCGTTGGTGGAATTGTGAATTGATCCAACCATTTTGGAGAGCAATTTGGAACTATGGCCCAAAGTGCTACAAAAATACACATATCCTTTGACCCAGCAATAGAACTTCGACGACTGTATCCCGAAGAGATCATAAAAATGGGGAAAGAATCCACATATACAAAAATATTTATAGCAGCTCTATATACAGTGGCAAAGAATTGGAAATTGAGGGGACACCCATCAATTGGGGAATGGCTGAACGAGTCATGGTATATGAATGTAATAATAGACTATTGTGCTGTAAGAAATGATGAGCAGGTGGACTTCAGAAAAACCTGGAAAGACTTGTATGGAGTGATGCTGAGTGAAGTAAGCAGAACCAAGAGAACGCTATACACAGTAACAGTCAAACTGTGCAATGACTAACTTTGATAGTCACAACTCTTCTCAGAAATGCAAGGATCTAAGACATCTCCAAAAGTTTCATGATAGAAAATATTATCTACATCCAGTTTCAATTGAGATCGAAGCACACTATTTGCTCTTTTTTTTCTTCTGTTTTGTTTTTTCTTTCTAGTGGTTCTTCCTATTGGTTCTAATTCTTCTTTACAACATGACTAATGTGAAAATATGTTTAATAGGAATGTATAGCTCTATGCGATAGCCTTGTAGTTTCACATATACAATCCCCTCCTATTTCACAATTAATATGAAAATGCTCATTTTATTTGGTGTTTAAATTCATTATTATTAAAATAAAATTTTTTAAAATGTTTAATTCTATGATTCATGACTCTCTGGTAGTCGATAAAATACATTCCTCTTTCCCAAATCCTTAAAGACTAAGTCTTAATTTTGTTCTTCCTTGATTCCTTATTTTATCTCTAGAACAATAAAATAAATGCCAATTTCAACAAATCTCTGAAACTAAATGGAGTCTGGCTCACCTCCAGGAAGCAAACTGAATGCTATTAGTTGTTCGATTTATTTGGGGCCATCAGTCTATGCTGAAAAGGATACTGATTTACATCACAAACATAAGATTATAGATTTAGAGCCCTCCATAAGACTTTATAGATGAGGCATCTGAGGCCCAGAAAAATGAAGTAACTCAGCTTGCCCATTTGATTAACTTTTGTCTCAAATGCTATTATCCATCAATAATCAAATAAAGGCATCACTACTATTTGAAAAATCAGTGTTGAAAATGCTAACAGGAGCAGCTAGGTGGCTCAGTGAATAGAGCACCAGCCCTGGAGTCAGGAGGACCTGAGTTCAAATCCGGCCTCAGCTAGTTGCCTAGCTCCCCAGTCCCCAAAAAATGTGCTAACATGCAGTAAAGGAACCCTCTTTCTGTTGCAAAGGAAACAGACCTTTATTAGAGTACCCTATTCAATCTGGAGTTCTACAATCACGCAAACTAGTAGAAAATCACAGAAAGGGAGACTTTTTATTACATGACCAAGAAGATGGTAGATAATGTTTCCAACCCAAAACAAAAAAAGGGGAGGTAGAGTGAAGGGGTGAAGAATTATGTATCAGATATGAAGTAACTAAACCTAAATTCACAAGACAAAAGGTCAGAGACGTAACAACCAACTCAGCATCCCCAACTCACTCTGCACACAGGCACAGTAAGCATAAGCAACTTTGTAAAATTTTTACTTCAGATTACAGCTATAGTCAGTCCCCTCCTGCAGAGAAATGACTATGATCACCACACAATGAATTGCAGACACTGATTCTACCCAGCCACTGGAAGGAAGGAAAGGGGAAAGAGGAAGTGAAAAATATAAGAAACACAAAGCCCCAATCTAGACGGAAAATAGCTTAATCCAACTGGGGAAAGTATCTCCCCTGCCAAAGTATATTCTGGACAGGGATCTGTACAGGCTCCCATAGTAATGAGCCTCAGGCATTTGTGCAGCAATGCAAAGCGAAGGAGTCAAAACAAAAACTAAGACAAGTGACTGTGAATATAAGAAAAAAGAACGAAAGAACAAAAAGGAGAATGCCTTAATAAAAACCTAGCTCACAAGCACATAAACTAATACAGAAACTCATAATGGCAGAAGGAACAATGAGTAAAAAACTCAAAGAGAGGCCACGATGGTGGAATCCTAATAAAGCTGCCCCCATCTTCAATATTCAAACTTCCTTATGGGCCTCACTGAACAGCAGGCATGTCCTAATTTAACCACACAATCTGGCTTTAACCATATCACCCCCTCTAGACTCAATCATAGGCCTCAGACAGTAGGCCCACTGCCCTGCCCCCAACCCAATATCCTAACTTCCTCATATATGCCTTACTGCCTCACAAGAACAGCAGGCATGTCCATGAACTCATACCCCACCAGAACAGAAGACATGTCCATGTGATGGAACCCTAGCCACTGCCCTTAGCTAACCACTGGCCCCAGACCCATTCCTCACATTTCTCACAGAAACAACAAGTGCGTCCATGCACTCAACCACAGCCACATCCATCTAATCTCAGG